TCTCTTTCTCTTTTTAAATTAGCAAACCTTTCTCTCAATGTTGTTACTAGAAGTATAAACTGCTATAATTATTTTAGAAAATCCTAGTATTCAGCAATTCCTCTCTGAACTATATACCCAACAAAAACGCCTATATATCGTCACCAAAAGACATGTACCAAAGTAGCCTTGTCCATTAGAACCTGAAAATGGAAACAACCCAAATGCATATCAAAAGGTAAATGGATAAATGTGGCATCATCATACAGTGGAATATTATACAGCAATGAGAATAAATGGACCCAAACTATATGCAAGAATATGGATAAATTACACAGACATAAAGTTGAGTGAAAGAAAGCAGATGTGTAAGCATATATCCTGTATAATTCCACTTTCATATTGTTCAAAAACAAGTAAAATTATTCCTATGGTGTTAGAATTCAGGATAATGGTCACCCTTGTCGGGGCAGTGACTGGGAGGGGGCAGGTGCAGGACTTGGGCAGGGGAACAGGAAATGTTCTATTTCTTGATCTGGGTGGCGTATTTCTACATGACTGTGAAAATTCATTGAACTGTATACTTATGATAAGTGCACTTTTCTGTATGTACATTATACTTCAACAAAGACTTATTTTAAAAAGAAACTGTATCTCACTTGGTAAATGAAAAGCCAACATCCATGGCCTTAGATAGGAGATAAAAATAACTAGAAAGAAAACAGAACCTTCTTAAATTCTAGGTCAATCTGTTGACTTTTGTCGTGAAGACTCTGACCCTGGACACTTTGTTTGTGTAAATAGGGAGAGGAGCAAACGATGGATGAGTGTTAAAGACACACTAGCACCAGGCTGCCGCTACCACTGAGCAATCCAGCACTAACAGAGCATTGAGGCAGCAGTTCATTGCCATGCTACCTAAAGTCACCCTAGACGTCACAGTGGAATGAGCCCTGTCCTTGTGGAAATAGGGCTTTAAACCTACGGGGAGCTTTTGTTTGTCACCAAAGACTCAAGTTCTTACAAGGGTGGTCAGGGGTTCAGTTTGTGGCTCTTGCAGGTTCCCTATTTATTTTCTTCCTTGGGGGAAAAGGCCTGTTCTTTGTGCCATCGCAAGATGGATCATCAGAAAAATAGACCATCAGACAACCTAGATCAGCCATTTAGTGGTGATGCAACAGACAAGGTTATCAACATAGAGAAACCATAAAGAGATAGTAACTTACTGATCTGTTCTACCAACTTGAGCATCACTCCCCCGACATGCAGATCTCCGGACACTCTCAATGTGATGTCTTTCTGCTCCTCTTCATTAGGATGGTCAACTCGGACCACGAGCTCCCAAGAAGCAGACGCAAAGTCACTGGACGAGAGCATCGTGGCAAATGCGGGTGTCTGAAGCATAAAAGGGCAGACATAGATCAGAACATGAGAAGGAAAATGGAGCCTGCCAGGAGATCCTGCAGAGCAAAACGGGGTTTTTTTTTTTCATTTTAGTGTTCTCTTAAAAAAACTGTGCAGGGTTCCCAGGGTCCGAGATTAAATTCAGCATTTTAATTTTAAAGACAAAAAGTCTTATAGAAATGGTCTCAAGCCTTCTAAATTTATGTTCTTTATCTTTCCATGCCCCCCAGACCACATGGTTATTTATTTTCTGTGCCTGCCCAACGCACCCATCTTCATTTTCCCGCTCTACTGACTTTTCTTGATCTTCTCTGAACTATTCCAGCAATAGGAAACAAATCATGGCAAACCTCGATGATAGCTTTTTTAAAAATCAACTTTATTGAAGTATAATTTGCATACAATAAAACAGATTTTAAATGCACAGTTCCACGTGTTTTGTTGTATGTAAATTATATCTCAATAAAGCTGATTTTAAAAAGGATGCCATTAAAATCTTTCTCTGCCTCCAATGTACATTCATATGTATTATGACACTCCTTCTAAAATATTGATGACCTCTTCTGGTCAGAAAAGTCAAAAAATAAAAATATAGCAAAATAGTTTCTATTTCAGTCACATAATATGTAGTTTTACCTTAAATGCAGATAAAGATATAGGTCACTAATAATTACTGTCACGTATTTGATTTACTTGAGTTACTGTTTTATATCACATAAAAGGTGATAATTAAGTGCATCAATTAAGTTTTGGGACAAACCTTGGGCAAAATATTTAAAACAGGAGTGACAGACATACAAAGCCCACTTTTCAAAGTACAGACAGGGGTGAGAACTTCAACCCACAGTGTTCCTCTCATTGGAGGGACCAGAATGAAAGAAGCTAAGAAGGATCAAAACTGAAATGTTTCAGGGGGTAATAGGAACACTGGAATCCCAAACTGGCAGAACCTAAAATGCCATCTCTCTTAAACAGAAAGCAAAGGCTATTACCTCTCCTGGCTATTTTAAGATTTAAAAGAAAAATCAGTCATTCAAGTGATAACAAATCTTTTTCACCTTAGTAGGTAAAGACAGCTTATGAGAAGTCCATGTTTTCATTAGGCCTATTTTTGAGAAACATCAGAGCACCCAAACACCTAAGAAAGGTTTTCTCTAGCTGAAAGTGCACATGAATGCCCAGAGGATCTTCCCAACACGCAGATTCCATTCGGCAGGCAGGTCTCTGGGGCGGATGAGAGACTGCATTCACAACAAGCTCCATGCGATGCTGGTCTGGGGCTCACAGTTTTGAGGGTAAAACGACCAAGTGAAAAATCGGCTCCAGGGCTCAGTTCCTCCCTTCAACCTACTCAAATCAACATTAAGGGAAAGACTATGGTGATATCTGAGAAACACTATTTTTAATAATAAGCAATAATTAAACCACCAGTGTCATACTAGTTTTGTGTTCTTTTGAAACTGTTTACATTTGTAAATGTATGAGAACCTCAAAATACACAAAATAGGTAAACACTGCAAATCTGAACAGGCTTGGGACAGATTTTACTTGTTCAAATCAAATTCAAGAGTTCAGAAATAGCTCCTTATGTCTTTATGACCAGAAGGATCCCAGTGATGTAAGGCTTGTCCCTCCCAAGGCAGAGGCATACATGGAGATGTCATGCATAGGCGGTGTCACACATGATCATATTGGGCTAACCACCCATCTCCCCGTCATGTTCAGCCTCAGGGCCTTTTATTATGTAGTACGTGCTGGGTGATGTACTCTGTATTTAATTACTGTTCTTGTGTTATCTCCTTCATTCTCTCAGCAACCCCATTTAGAAATGAGGACAAAAGGCTCAGAGACCTTAGGCAACTTGTTGGAAGTCACAGAGCAAGTTAGATAGTTGAGACTAGATGGAAATCCAAGTGTTTCTAACTTCTAAATCTTAAACACCACGCTGGGACACCTCCTTGACAATGTTGCAATGCCAATATGAAACAAAACTCTTAAAACCACAGGGTGAAACCCTCAGCTGCCTTCACTAAGCATTTCTACTAACATAATCTTTCCCAGTGAGGGGATAATAAAGACGTCTCCTTCATAGTCAAATTCATAACCTGGCATTGAACTGTCTGACTTTAAGATCCGTACAATTTCTAAAATACTGATTTGAGGCTTATTTAAAAATGTTTTGTACATAAAGGAAATACCTTTGTTTTAAGGTGACTTTTTACTGCTTGTTTCATGAGCAATCAGACATAAAGTCTTTTCCTAACAGGGGCCATCGAAACACTTCTCATTTAGGGAATAGATGCAGATCCCCTTACAACGAAATTCAGGCTAAAGTATGACACACTGGTTTGCCCACATTCCTCTCTTATCTTTCTGCGCCTTCATTTTGGAGTGAATTTCTCCGCAGCAAGCTGTTACTTGTTGAGAGAGCAGCAAACTTTAACCAGGAAAGCACATCTTAGAAACGAGAACAAGAAGCAAAACGCTCCGACAGACCTGCCTGCCCTGGGTGAAGCCCAGCTGCTACCGCCTCCTGTTCTTTATAGAAAATGCAAGAAAGAAAGAAAGAGGGAGAGAGACAGACAGAAAGATGGGGGAAATAGCCCCCGACGCTTCCCCCTGGAAGATGAGAATGTGTCCAAAGGCCTGCAAGGTCCTGGAGCCCGCAGGGGGTGAAGGGGTTGGATAGATGGTGGGTGGATACCCCCATCAAGGCAGCACCCTCGGCTGGGCGGAGAATTTATTTTCCGCGGCCAGATGCGCAAGGCTAGAGAAGGTGGTCACACGCCGAGAGCATTATTTTCAATTCAACAGCCATTTAAACGCAAGGGGCTGAAGAAAGAAGGCGGCAGGGGTCTCTGAAGTCAGCGGTGCCCCTCCCAGCCCCCTGCCCCCTAGTCCCTTAGCACCCACCTCCGTTCCCTGAGCCCGTGGCGTGCGGCCTCGCAGACAGGCACGTGGGGGGCTGCGCCCCTACCCTCGGGCAGGGACCACCCAGACCGAGCTGGTGGCGCGCGCTGGCGGCGGGGGCGCCCGGTGGCGGTGGCGGTCGGCTAGGCTGCGGCGGGCGAGGGCTGCGCGCGGGGCGCCGGTGCACGGTCCCCGCAGGCCGGGCCCAGGCCAGCGCGGCGGGGCAAGCGAGGGCACGTCCAGCCCGGGCCTGCTGGGTCTCGCTCCCCCGAGAGGAGGCGCGTTCCGCAGCCTTTTTTAAGGGCCAAGGGGGGTCAAAGGCTGCCACACAGCGGGAGGGCTGGGAGAGCCTGGGACGCACGCTCGCCCCGTCTGCCCCTCCTGCGATCTCTCATCCTGCCCCCGCCAAGGCCGCCTCCGGTTTTCCCGGCTCCCCGAGGCCCGCCCGGGGCTGGCCCAGGTGATTAAAGTCCTCCTCCTACCCCTGCCTTCCAGGTTCACACACAGCCCAGGGTGCGTCCCGGCCCGAGACTCTAAGCTCCAGGCTAGAACAACCTCTCTCCTTTAAAGAGCCCCGAGGACCTGTGAGCGCCTGCTGGAAAAAACAAAAGCGGTGCATCTCTGAGTAAGAGGGTGAGGTAAACCCCTGAGAAGGGAGAGGCGCCCGAAACGCGAACAATGGAAGACCCTGGGGCAACCCCAGGCCACGCCCCATGCGGAAGTCTGGGGTGGCTCACCGCAGACTCACCACCCAGCCGCGCTGCTCACCTTCCTGTCGGATCTACTTCCAAAGAGCGCCGGAAGGGTGGGTGACCTGGGGCAATTTCCACCTCTCCAAGCTTGCTTTGTTCGTTTGACACACATTGGTTGAGCGTTTATTCTCCAGGCTTGGGGCTGAGTTCTGAGGATACAGTGGTTACAAAACAGACATGGAAATTAGAGTTTCCTCATCCGTAAAATGGGTAGAGGGATGCAACATCTGCCACCGTTACACCGCACCATTACAACGCAGTACAATACAGGCTTCTGAGTTACATCAAGTACATAAAGCTTGCCATAACTTAAATATTAATTTAAAATGTTATAAAATTTAGAAGTGGAATCCTTGTTTTTCCTTGAATATTGCCAATCAGCCATTATTATGGTTTTGAAAGCATTTTAAGTATAGTTTTAAAAGGTCAGTTGGACAACGGTCAGCAAATATGGGATTTTATAGTTAAAACAATGAAAACTTGAAACTGAATTTCCTGATTTGGTAGTTTGTCAGCTGTGGGAATGGAGCCAACTGTCATCTGGGCCCGTTTGCCTACATGCCCAACACCAGCCCAGCAAATATGCTCTTATCTTGGGCAGAAGATGTCTAAAGCCCACCTTCTGAGACCTTGCTCATGGCTGAGGAGAACAGAGACTGTCAAGATCCTGTGTGTCATCTTGAAGTAGTAATGGCTTTATTTACACCCAATTGGTTTCTCATTTTAGTTGAAAATATCTGGATTGTGCTAAAGAATTTAACTAATTTCACGCCTTCTGCTTGGCCCAGGTTATTTTTTAAGCTTTTAATTGAAATGTTATATCTTTATATTTATAGGCAAGAGCACACATCGTGAATACACAGCTGATGAATGTTTCACACACTGAACACACCTGTGTAATGAGCATCCAGATCAAGAAACAGGACATATCAGTCCACAGAAGTCCGCAGTGCCCCCTTCCAATGACTACCATGCCCACCAAGAGTCACCACTCTCCTGACCTAACTCTTGAGGTGGGCTTTGCTGATCTTTGTATCACGTGTAAATGCAATCGGACAATATATACTATTTTGTGTCTGGTTTCTTTTGTTCAATGTTATGTTTTTGAGTTTCATCCATGTTGTGTCCTTTTTTCTTTTTTTTTCCTACCTGGTTATTATTCTCATGACACAGGTCTCACCAATCCCCTAAGGCCCTGGGTTAGAAGTGGATTAAAAAGTGTATTCTGGTAGCTGGCCCAATGGTCTAGTGATTAAGTTTGGTGTGCTCTGTTTTGGTGGCCCAGGTTTGGTTCCTGGGTGCAGACCTATGCCACTTGTCCGTGGCCATGCTGTGGCAGTGACCCACATACAAAATAGAGGAAGATTGGCACAGATATTAGCTCAGGGTGAATCTTTCTCAGAAAAAAAAAAAAGTGTATTCTGGACTTCAAAATTTCATACATATATAAACAAGCAATACTCATTCTATCTCCCTCTTAAAAGACAAGCAGGATCAACACTATGAGTCAATTATTTAATTAATCCACGTATATTAATGAAGCTTAGTTGTTCATTCAGCCACTATTGCTATGAGCTAGACACTGTAATACATACTGAAAACATGCAGATTAACTAGGCACAGACTTTATCTTCAGATCCTCACAATGATGCTAGGGGATAAAGAAGAGGGGTGTCTAGTTCTTCCAGGTGAGCAGAGTGGAGGGGAGTATGAGAAAAGGTTTCAGAAAGGAGGTGATTTTTGAGATGGAATTTTTTTTTTAAAGATTGGCACCTGAGCTAACATCTGTTGCCAATCTTTTTTTCTTCTCCCCAAAGCCCCCCAGTACATACTTGTATATTCTAGCTGTAGGTCCTTCTGGTTGTGCTATGTGGGATGTGCCTCAGCATGGCCTGATGAGCAGTGCCATGTCTGCACCCAGGGTCCGAACTGGTGAAACCCTGGACCGCTGAAGCAGAGCCCGCGAACTTAGCTGCTCAGCCATGGGGCTGGCCCCTGAGACGGAATTTGAAGCACTGGGTAAGAGCTTGATAGTTGTCTATAATAACCTATAGTCTCCAGGAAACTGTCTTAAGGCATCTTTTAGTCAGCAGATAGCTACTGTGCTTGAGTTAGAGGGTGGTGGATAAAGAGGCGCTATGTCTCCCGACCTCAAAATCTTCCATGTTTACAGTGCAAATATGGAAACAATAACCATTATCAGGTACCCATATACCAAAAAACTCACCTGAGAATTAGTGCCCTCAAAAGGAGAGTTAGTCACATCTGCCTTATCATATGGGATGTGAGTAGACTGGGGTGGATGAGAGGCGTGGCCGTGTTCCGTGTTCCCTGAACGGAAATAAAGGAGGAGAGGCCCTTTGAGAGTTCCAGCCACTTCAACTTGTTAAACTCAAGGGACTTTCTTCCTCTAGCACATTCCCACTTCCTCTAAATGAGCCCTCAAGGTTTTAAAAATGCTATATACTTAATTTAGAGAGAATGGAAAAGCTCCTGGAAGGAGAAAAGAGGAGGAGTTTTGTCTTGATTGATGGTTTTATTTGACAAAACAAATGGGGTGCTATCCAATGAAAATTTCTTTCTTAAATATTCAGCTTATAAACATGCTAAAAGTCTGGCAACTAAGAAGCGACAACAGACACCTAAAATGTATTTTCATTTTCACACACTCTCTGGGACTCAGGAGCTGTGTTCATGTTTGTGGAGACCGTGTTCTGCTTAGTGCAAAGAAGCAGAATGTGCCTATTACTGCTACACCGTCCTCTCCAGCTGGATGGATAACCAGCACTTTCTATGCCCAGGCAAGTTCTGTAATTTTTCTCCTTGTGAGGGTGGAGAGGGTGTGTCCTGATGTATCTGCAGGCACCAGATGAAGGGTGAGGAAGAGCAAAGAAAAGTAAGAAGGCCTTGCTGGAGGCTGCACTGGGGCCCCCCACTGAGAATGAGAGGAGCAAGAAAGGTGAGGCTGCCCTCCCTCCCCTCCCCTTCCTTCTCTCTTTCTCTTTCCTTCCTTTGCATCCATCTCAATCAAAGGGTACACTGATAATTAATTCTTCCTCTTCTCCTGATTATGAAGTTACTTTCCCTGGAGAAAACTAACAATTTCCTCTAGAATCTTCCAGAGATAGTTTATGCAAGTACACTAACTATTTTTGCCTTTTATGCAGGTGATAGTATTCTACACATATTCTACTGCATTTTGCTTTTCTCACCTTAAAATATCTTGGTGATTGTAGGGGCCATTAGTCACAGTCATGGCTGCCTACTATCCTTGGAAAGTCCTCTTTATATTTGTAGAAATCCTCATGTTATTATCCCAGTCTAGAAATCAGAAATGCAAATTCCCAGCCTCCCTTGCAGCTAGGACACAGGCCTACAGCCTAGACTCTGTCACTTGGATACACTCAGGCACTGATATCAGCTTAACACAAGGTTGACGTAAGGGAAGCCATATTGTAGAAAAGAAACCACATTGTAACTTTGAATGACCTCTGATTAACTAACGCAGACATGCTCTGTAGATTTTGTGGCCCCTCCCAGCTGCTTTAAGATGGTAACTTTGTTCTTTTGAGTTCCTTAGGAATGTGATGACCCCCAGCCTATGCTGACAGCCATCATCAATGACAACTGAAAGATCATGGTATAGGGCATTGCTCCATTCTCTGAAGCATATCCAGTAAAACAAAGGACTATCAGGAACTGGGACCAGATGTCTGCCCCGACCCAGAGACTAGCCTCCTCCCCCACCTGGAGACCACCCCCACATATAACTGTCCTGTAGTCTTTGTTCTGTAAGATAGTTCTTTTGGACATTATTTGGACATCTTCCTTCCTGCTAGCAAGCTGTAATAAAGTCCTTTCTCTTCTACCACCTTGCCTCCTGATTATTGGTATGTCTTGTGGCAAGGAGATGACCCCACTTGGTCAATAAGAGCATGACTTTAATTTGGAAGTGAGTGGGTTTTGGAGACAGGATGCACTTGGAGTTTCCATTTAAGCCAAGAATCATTGATGGATTTTAAAATGAGGGCGTAAAAGTGTGATAAGAAACAGGATATTTGTTGTCTCAGAGTATCTCCCTGCAAAATACTTGTCAATTGCATGGGGAAAGATAATTACATTAGAGTGGAAAAAATTGGCAGATGTCACTTTAACCAAGTGATCAGAATGAACATTCTCTGTAGCAATGCATACTGACCCCACTCACCTCCTGATATGATACACTGAGAAGGGCACTGCATCGCTTCCATGGTATTCTTGCCCATAATGTCTAACCTCAATTTAATCATGAGAGGATGTCAGACAATCCAAAACTGGAGAACAGTGTACAAAACAAATCACTAATACTCCTCAAAAGTGTCAAAATCATGAGAGACACAAAAATTGTGGAACTGTCTCAGATGAGAGGAGACTAAAGAGGCATGACAACTAAATGCCAGATCGAATCCTGGAACAGAGAAAGGACATCCGTGGGAAAGGCTGTGAAATTTGAGTAGGGCAGAAGATTAGTTAATAGCATTGTATCAAGACTAATTTCCCGGTTTCCATAATTGTACTGTGGTTATGTACGATGTTAACAAGAGGAAGCTGGGTGAAGTTTCTCTGTGTACTATTTTTGTGACTTTTCTGTAAGTCTAGAATTATTTAAAACGAGGAGGAGGAGGAAAAGGAGGAGGAAGACAGGAGCACGCCCTGACCCTGAAGCAACTTACCTAGAGGGTAAGGACTTGGGGGTTCTGGAGGCAGCCATGACCTTCCAGTGAGCAGAGAAAGGGAAGACCATGTACAGATGATTGTTTGTTCTTGTAACTCAGAGTTTTCAAACTGCATTAGGGTTTTGAGGACCGTGTCCAGTGTTCTTATCACTGGCAGTGACTTTGTAACGTGGTGGTTCAAGTTTTGGAGACTGACAAATCTGGGTTCCTCCAATGGTACTGGTGACACTTAATAGATCAGAGGGCTTGGGCATTTTTTAGTTTGGTTCTGTGAGCTTCAGTTTCTGCTCCTGTAAAATGGAAGTAATAATACCAACCTCATAAGGTGCTGTGAAATGAGAGCATGTTCATAAAGCACTGAGCACAGAGCCTGAAACATGGTAAATGTTCAATAAATGCTAGAGTAATAAGAAAGCAGGAAAGATTGGTGGTGTTCTCTGGGAAAGAGGAGGAATCGGAGACTCCTAGGGTGTTGCATCTCATCCCAGGGAGGTAGGACTGTGCTCACCTCTCCTCCTTTCTTGCTCACAGGTAAGGGATCAAAGAAGTGGAGGAATCGTCACTTAGGTGAACCCATAGGAATTTATTAACTTTCTCAGACTGCATCACAGGGAAAATGTGACGGTCTATACCCAGGTTAATAGGAAAAAGGAACTTGTCACAGTGAGTTCCTTCTAAACCCAAATGCAGGTGTAGGGTGCTTGAGAAATATTGAATGATTTCTGTGATGCTTTCTAGTAACAGATGTTCAGTAAACATTAGCTATTCTTATAGTAGCAGATAGGATTTTGAAAAACCCAGAATGCTGAATGTGAGAATGGTCATATTCCTTTTTTTCTAAATCTTACTTAATTTATTGATTTTTGGTTAAAGATAGTTGACTGGCTACTCATATTCATCTCTTCTCCCTATTGAGTCTCTGCTAAAATAATAGTGTAAGAATAAAAAGGTATAAACCTACAGTGACAAAGGTAACAGGAGAAAAGCCATCAGCCAATACGAAATTTCAAGAAATTTCTAGACAATAGAAAATTGAAGAAGGAGTGGTTAGTAATGAAACAGGGCAGTGAAATCCATAGTCTAGGAGTGTATGGAAATGGGGTTGTAACTGAGACTTTCCAGAATATTCTCAGAGAAACTCAGGACTTGGAAATGCCAGGTAAGATAGACAGTGTAAGTGAGATGTGTTGCCAAAAACAAGGGAATGACTAGAAAGTCTTTACACAGAATAGTCAAACCCCCACTATCACAATTAGGGTGAGTGTGTGGCTGCCAGATCTCCACTCTGCTGGCCCAAATCCAGAGGGTTCTCCTCTGTAGAAGTTAAATGTCTTCTTTGAAAGGTTATTTGGTATAAAGGCCAACTCCCCCCCAGTTACCCTAAAGCAAAGCTTATCAGTTGAACTTTGGACACTGAGCTCCCAAATAGATTTAAAAAAAAAAAACTCCTCAAAAAAAACCCTCCTAATTCTCAGACATTATCAAACACTTGAAGAAGTCCTCCACTATGAGAGAGACAGATTTTTTTTAATCTTAATCTTAATTTAATTTAATTTATTTTTTCCAGTTTTATTGAGATATAATTCACATGACAAAATTTAACATAAGAAAAAATGAGTAAAAAGATAAGAAACCTAGAAGATCAATACAAGGGAAGAGCAAAAATAGAGTGGAAGAAATTATCACAGAAATAATATGAGAAACCACCCAGAGATGAGGAACGTGAATCTCCTATTTAAAGGTCTATTGGGTATCTGTAAAATGAATAAGAAATAGCACACCAAAGTGCAGCAGTGTGAAATGTAAGATCACTGTGGAAACATAACTAACCCAAAAGCTTTTAGTAAGAAAAAACAGGTTAGTTACAAAGGAACAAAATCGACATTCTATACCCATCTAGACTATCAATCAAGATATTTTTCAGACATGCTAGAACTCAGAAATTTAATTCTCACATAACCTGTCTTAGAAATGTTCTTGAGGGGCCGGCCCCATGGCCGAATGGTTAAGTCATGCGCTCCGCTTTGGCGGCCCAGGGTTTCACCAGTTCGGATCCTGGGCGTGGACATGGCACTGCTCATCAGGCCATGCTGAGGCAGCATCCCACACAGCACAACCAGAAGGACCTACAACTAGAATATACAACTATGTACTGGGCAGCTTAGGGGAGAAGAAGGAAAAAAAGAAGATTGGCACAGATGTTATCTCAGGTGCCAATCTTAAAAAAAAAAAAGAAACGTTCTTGAAGATGAGCTCTAGAAAGCAAGAGAGTGAATCAAGAAAGAAGAAGACCTAGGGTGCAGGAAACAGTAGATCCAATCCAAAAAGTCGAGAAGAAGAATTGAGGGCCCTCGGGAGGAGGCTCCGGGACAGAAGGAAACCTCACAGAACATCTGATGTCATGAGAAGTATCAAAAAAGATTTGGGACGTGGTAAAGGAAAACGGTGCAAGAAAAAATAAAGTCAATTAGAAAATTCGGGAAAGCAAATGACTATAAAAAAGGAAATATGACTTTTTCAGTTTCAAAAATTAATCTGTAAACAAAGCAAATAAGACTTAATTATGGTTATGAAACAGAATGTAAACTTTGTGAATGTGGTGTAATAAAAAAGATGTTTGGTCTTCATCCAGTTCCTGACACAGAGCTCCTAAAACCCTTGAAATTTTCTGAGTGATAAGGGTGACAAGAGTGTCTTTTTTTCTTATGTGGCCTCTTGGCAGGCCTCTAGATAGCTTCAGGATGACGGCTGGCTGCCAGAAAGACCAGGCCTGGATTAAAATCTTGAAACTTTTGACACCACCCCCTGTTCTCCAGGGAGGGGAGAGAGGCTGGAGACTGAGTTAATCACTAGTGGTGACAGTCATGCCTATGTAATGAAAACTCCATAAAAACCCTTAAACGATGGGTTTTGGAGAACGTCTGAATTGGTGAACATATCCACATGCCAGGAGGGTGGTGCACCCCATCTCCACGGGGACAGAGGCTCCTGCATTCAGGACCCCTCTGGACCTCACCTTGAGGACCTCTTCATCTGCCTGCTCATTCGTATCCTTTATAACTAACTGATAGACGCTGTAGTAAGTGTAGCATTTTCCTGAGTTCTGTGAGTTGTTCTAGCAAATTATCGAGACTTGAGAAAGGGGAGGTTGTGGGAACCCCTGACTTTGTAGCCAAGTTGGATGGAAGTGGGGGTAACCTGGGGACCCAAGTCTTAGAACTAGCGTCAGAAGTGAGGGCAGTCTTGTGGGACTGAGCCCTTAAACCTGTGAGGTCGGTACTAACTCAGGATAGTTACTGCCAGAATTGAATTGAATTGAAGGACACAGAATTGGTGTCAAAGAATCAGAGAACTAGTTGGAGGAAAAAACTCTTCAGTCAACCTCAACAATGCAAAATCAAAGTTTGGGGTGGAAGAAAGGGAGAAAGATGAAGGTCGATGTTAGAGGTGCTAGGAGCTTCATACTACAATATGGGAGGCCAAAAGATAAGGCTGATAAACAAGGAATGAGAGTGTTAGTATATTACTTGAAGTAACAAAGGTAACCAAGAGAAGGACTAAAATAAAAATAAATATAGATATACCTATATCGGGAGGTGAGAGTCGTGTAAGAGAACTGAATACTCATCTGTAATAGGTAGGAGTCCATAAATGATGTCTAAAATTGGTAAATTAAGAATTACCAGTAGGAACATATTATATACAGTCGATTCTCATTATTCATGAGAGTTATGTTCTATAAAGTTGCCATGAACACTGAATTAGCCAATACTGAGCCATTTCTGGTAGGGAAAATATGTACACACACACAT